TTAGCTGAAAATAGAATGAGAATTTAAAAAAAATTAAATATAAGCATTTTAAAGTGCTAGAATATAACTACTTTCAGCTTGCTTTTTCTATCTTCAGTTCAACTGTTTTTCCTATCAGTCAGACTTGTTGAGATTATTTTAAAATTTGGTAGAAAAAAAACTCCTTCAACAGAAAAATTGTACATGAGATTGAGACTACTTTTGCTGAAAATATTATAGGCAGAAGCAATGAATATGAGACTTGTCTAAATAACCAGCATGGTTATAAAAATTTAAATAATTTTAAAACATGTTTTAAAATATTTTCAAGTTTTAAAAATATGCTTTATGTGACACAATGAAGAGTGGCTCTACCCCGATATCCATTTTTAGTATATGCGCTGCCAAAGTGAGAACCACTGATTTCCATTTTTAATTTACTTCTTTATGAAAAACACAAAAGCATGAGAACAACTGATCTAGCCCAACTTTATATTTTTAAGCAGAAAATAAATCAAGGCTTGGAGTGATTCCACAACTTGCTCAACTCCCAGACATAGAAAGTGGGTAGAAAGACACAAATGAGCTGATTTACAGAAGAGAAAACTGACTAACAGATCTGAAAATCAAATTTATGATTACTAGAGGGGAAATGGGGGGAAGTGAAAAACTAGGAGATTGGGATTAACATACACACACTATTATATTTAGAGTAGATAACTAATAATGATCTACTGTATAGCACAGGGAATTCTGCTTAATATTCTGTAATAAGTTATATGGGAAAACAATCTGAAAGGAAAGGGATAAACGCATGTGTATAAGTGGATCACTTTGCTGTACTCCTGAAACTAACATGACACTGTAAGTCAACTATGCTCCAATACAAAATTAAAAATAAATTAAAAGGGACATATGTAAAATAGGATTACTTTCCTATTTAAAAAAAATACTCTTTTACTTTCTGAAGACGACAGTTTCATAAAATCTCTCTAATATAGTATACTTTTAATTTTGGGGTCATAAAACATGACTTTTCTACAATGGGTAAATTTGCTGAAGCATGTGTCTGGAACACATGAGCCAATGGTTGCAGTGGTGGGGAAGTCTTATTTCTTACTGAGCTCCTCAGTGTCAGAGAAGACTGTTAAAACATGTGGGAGTGTCCATTAGTGTGTGATGCATTAACAATACATTTCTTACTAAGATATATTAATTTATAAAGAAATTCTAAAATTTATAGATGACTTCAACTATATAATTTTCTGATAAATATTAAATAAAAATGTTAGCAGATGGCAAGTGAATTAATTGTAAGAGTTTCTTCCTGGGAGAGTACACATAACTTTTTTATTAATTCTATTTCTTCTAGTTTGTTCAGTTTTAGTGAACATAATAGTCTTTCAGTTGTGTCTGACTCTTTGAAACCCCATTGACTGTACTGTAGCCCACCAGGCTTCTCTATCCATGGAATTCTTCAGGCAAGAACACTGGAGTGGGTAGCCATTCACTTCTCCAGGGGATCTTTTGGACCCAGGGTAAAACTAGGGTCTCCCACATTGCAGGCAGATTCTTTCCAGTCTGAGACACCAAATGCCAATAGATAACAAGTGAATTAATGGTCTTGGGTTTCCGCTTGGGAAAGTACACGTAACTTTCCATTAGTTACCTATTAATTGGATCTCTTTTAGCTTGTTCAATTTTAGTAAGACGTTTTATATTGTTGAATGATTATTTCTTTTAATCTCCTTTCCTGCTTTTTTTCTTATAGTTCATTAATTATATTTATTAAGAGCTAATTTAATTTAATAAAGTACATTAATTTAATCATTTTTATCTTCACAGTAAGCCCATAAAGTAATATTATCTTTATTTAACTAAATACGAAGTTAAGATAACTCACCAAAGACCACATAGTGAGCAAATGGCCAAGTCATTAATAAGATACAAGCGTTTCTGAATCCAAAGTAGATATTCTTAACCTTAATCCATTCTGCCTTTGTCTTGCTGGCATTATATGTTTATTAGTTCTAAATTCTTATTACTTAAAGAAGCTCATGATCATTCTTCTTTGAAAATAATTTTCACATTTGAAATTTAAAATCAGAAGGAAAATAACCCTATTTAAACTTTGCCTTTATATCAATACTTAAGCTACATTACATGATATGTTTCAGAAATTTTGAGAAAACAATTAAAATGCAACCACAGAATAAGCACATATTTTACATCCACACAATTCTCTCTAATACAAACACATAATAAAGTAGACTGATTGGTTTTCAACAAAGTAATTCATTCACCTAGTTAAGCAAAATTCTTTATTTTTCATCCAGGCCATGAAAAACAAGAAGACTGAGAAACTGACATAGATCAGAGGATATTTTGGAAACATGAGGAAATGTCCTGTGTTATCCTGAATTCAATCTTGGAACAACAATAGCAACAAAAACATTAGAGGGAAAACATAAAATTCAAATAAAATATTTAGTTTAATTAATATATTACCAAGGCTAGTGGTTTAGTATTGACCAAAGCTCCATGGCATCTATCAGCATAAGGGAAAACCAAGTGGAAGTGTTAGGGGAAGCAAACTGACTGAAACCGCCGACCCTGGCCAGGCACTATGGTAACCATTTGCATGAGTTGCTTTAGGACAGGAGGTCCTGGTAAGAAACAGAACTAATAAGCTGCCACCAACAGGAAGAGCTCAGGAAAGGTCAAAAGGAGACACCACATGTCTGACCACCTCCCAGAATCCTTCTCGCTGGCATCCATCTTGACTGAACAAGGTGTGCACCACCAGGAAGGTCTCTGAGTCAGAATGATTGACTCAAGGCAACTTGGAAACTAATCCCATCACCATAAAACCTGGGAGCCACATGGCAGAGCAGTTTCCCCGGGTTCTCTTACCCTAGTGCTCTCTGCCTGGGCGCCCTTTCCCAATAAAATCTCTTGTTTTGTCAGTACATATGTCTTCTCAGACAATTAATTTCTGAGTGTTAGACAAAAGCCCACTTTTGGGCCCTAGAAGGGGTCCCCCTTCCTGCAACAGAAGATGTACAGGAACTCCTTGGATCATCTTCTCAATTTTTATGCATATTTTGAGGTTTTTTTTAATTAAAAAATGCTTTATTGAGTACCTAGCATGTGCTATGGTGCTTCTTCTGTGGCTCAGCAGTAAAGAATCTGCCAGCTATGCAGGAGACAAGGGTCCAGTCCCTGGGTGGGGAAGATCCCCTGGAGGGGGGCACAGCAACCCACTCTGGTATTCTTGCCTGGAGAATCCCATGAATGAAGGAGCCTAGCAGGCTACAGTCTATAGCATCACAGAGTCAGACATGACTGAAGTGACTGAGAAAGCATGAGCGGGCATATACTGGGGGGAGGTGTAGCCAGGAAAGAAAAGTCAAAATAGCTGCTGCCTTCTGCATGTTCACATCTAATTAGGTTAGTAGTTCTGACTACAAAAAGAGTAGGACACTCTTCATGTTTCAGATAGGAAAATTTTATCTTAATATAGTCCTCAGATATTCAATTACATTGACTGTGTTAAACAGAGTTATGAAAACTAATGTAATAATTGCTTTGATAAGAGGGTTAGGTGAATATTCAAAAGTACAGTATATTTGTAAGAGTAATTATAAATCAATTATGGGATCTGCTTTTGTCACTAATCATTTAGAAATCCATTAACAGAAGGTTCTGTGAACAGCTGAAATACTGTGCATGTCACTTTGTGGTTGGGTACTATAAATATAGGATTAAAAAGGCTTTATGAACATTTAACTACATTTTAACTAACACCCTGCAGTCCATTTTCTATCAGTAAAATGCCTAAGGAGTTTACACTTGCAGAGTTTCAAGAATCCAGATGGACCACATTACCATTTGGCTTCTTGTGCAGTATGAAAACATGACCTTGTTTCTCACAAAAGCAAATGATTTTATGTTAAGGTTAAGTGCTGTAATATCTCTAAGCTTTTAACTTAATTTGAGCTATTTTTGTTGTATGAGAATCGTTATGACTCACAATAATACTGGTCAATTTGCCTGTAATGGGACTTAACATAGATATAAAATCAATAGCATCATGATGCCACCTTAGGTTTGTAACCTTGATTTTTTTGATACATCATTAGACATACATGGACATTCCTTTGTTTTCCTGGTAGTGGTAATAGATTTGACTCAATCCATTCACATTGTGTTTTCTAGTCCTTCATATGACCTGTGATTTTCATCTCCATTTTAGTTGTCAGAGTTCATCGATACAGTAAACTCAGATATATTGAAGAAATAAAATTTATTTTTAGTTCACTAGCTCCTACTTTCTCTATGTTTACCTCTCTTGCTTACTCAACCTTTAGATATTCTCTCAAGAAATGCTCTCAGGATAGGAGCGAATGATTTCACTTACATTTCAGCATAAGAAACAAAAAGCACTTTAACTTCCCCAATGAGATTTTCTTCTCTTGGCAGTTGAAAAATCTATTCAAGGACACAACCTCTATAATTCTGGATAAAAATAAGATTGTTTTAAGGTCAACTTGGAAGGAAACATAAATCTTTTCATTATCCTAACATGGATGATACGTGGAAAGGCTTACCTCGAAGTTTGCTAGGAACAGATCCAGGTCAGGTCTGTTATCCTGGCATAATTACAAGTTGAATTTCATTCCACTCTCAAAAAAAAAAAATCCCAATTTGGATTTTAAACTATATAGTTCTTTAGTCCTATAAAAGATCTTGCCCATAGAGGGACTCAGATTTTGCCCTCAATAGGATATGGTGAAGAATATATACATGAATGGACAGATTAATTGATGTGCATTTTTTTGAGTTCTTTTCAAATACTTAATGATCCTACAATCATGGAGCTTAAGTTACATTTCTTTGCTTAAGTCTTTCCTAATCTTTTATTGCACTAAATGAAAGGAAGGGTAGATTCAATGTCATACATCTGAAAAGGCAAAGTCAGCATACATTTCCTGGTAAAAAAAAAATCCAATATCTAATACCTGTTTCAAATCTTTGTAGGTGAGATGAGTACAGAGATGACTGCCAAAAAGTCTGTGTTTGGCTCCAGATCCAACACCCAGTACAAAATTAAAAATTGCAGGTGTTCCAACAAGCCTGAAAGATTTTATCTGTTTGAAAGAAATTGATTGATATTACATTTGTCATTATTTTAAAATCTATTAAAAAATACAGCCAGGAACATACAAATCCCATTAATAAAATCTGTGGAGGACTGAAATGGTTCAGAAATTCTGCAATGGAATATCCTTTCAAAGCACGTGCTGTTTGGTCACTGGTTCCAATTACATTCATGGTACGAGTCATGTTTTTGCTGAAAATCCATGACATAGCCACCAAGCCAGAGCCTGACAATCTCCAAAGCCTATTCAAACCACACCAGGGCAGTAGAAAGATCATCTTGTCACACACTTTAGTTAGTTCCAACATCTCACAATAGTCTATAATAAGACTTGTGAAACTCTTGTGCTGTCACTTCTTTGAGGCCTCAACTTTCAGATATTACTCTTTACATGAATACAACTAATTATGTGATGTGATATACATTTGTAATTGAGAAAAAATCAGGTAGAGGAAAGGTGTAATTAACTTTCTAAAATATTTCATGACAAGGCAAATCCTGAAAGCATCACAATAATTTTATAGAAAATAATATGCACTGTTAAGTAAAGCAAGATGAGGGAAACAGTATATATTTCCATTTAGATCCACATCAGCAATAAACATTTCAATCATAAAAATGAAAGTCAGTAATAAGTATTTCTCTATCTGTTGCTGATGACCCATTATAAATACATCTAAGTTGTAGGTAAAGAAACAAAAAAAACCCTGAGCTAGATCTAGTTATTTATTTTTTAAATATCATTTAATATATACTTTAAAATAGGTGCTTTTTCATGAATGAATTTTTCATATTTTGTAAAAATCAACTCCTCTTCAGAATATGCTTCCTTATATTTCTCACCATTCTTGTACTTGATTTTTTCATTTCTGTACTCAGTCAGAACTCAGCATGGTGCTTTTCTTTTTTCTCTTTTTTTCTTTAACTTTATTGGCTGAAAAATTTTTTTAATTTACTTTCCCATACTTTCTTACATGTAAGGAAGCTGGGAAGCTCAAATCAACTTTCTCATAGATCCTTAGCACCAAAATTCTGGATGAGTCTTTGGTTCTAGTAATTGATAAACTCAGATTAGTTTCAGAAGATAGACGTGAGATATTTCTGTTTCTAGTCGTGTCCTTGGAGATGTGAGTGTTTAGTAGTGGTTACACGGGTGGACCCAGAATTCCAGGTCTCATAACTGCTGTCAAGAGATTGCTGTCGTTGCCTACATGTTAGCAACAGGAGCTTGATGAGCTCTGGATGGTGATTATGAACCGACTATTGTGATGGCAGTCTCCTGATTCTGGCCCTCCTGTCATTCCATGATGTTGTAAGGGAAGATTTAATTCTCTACAGTCATTTTGTTGTTGTTTGAAATAAATAGAAAGATATCTATTTTCTGTCCTGACACTGCACCTTTTAGAGATCCCTCTTCTATACTGAAAAAGCAAGATACTTTTAGCAGACATTCATTAAGGAAAAATCATTAGAATTATCACTCTTACTTATAAACATGTAAATTAAACTATACTCCTTGTCCCATAAAAAAAGTAACAGAACCTTTTAGATGGCCAACCCAGCTCCCATATCCATCATTAGGGATATGCAAGTCCTTTTAAGTTGGAGGTAAATGAGCTGAAAGGTCAGAAGCATTCTAAGAAGAGGATCAATGGCTAACCTATTTCATGGATTTATATATCTCCAACCAGTATCTGTTGGTAGGAAAAGGAAAGAATATCAAGAAGCACACTCTCAAATGGAACACACTGTGATGGGATAAAAAGTCAAGACATAGAATTCAGAATGAGAAGGCCCATTATGAAGCAATGATGTCGAGACTAACTGCCTGTATTTCAGGTCCAACAGCCTCTCTAACATGGCGCGTATGCTCTGAGTGCAATGGCTAAGGTCAACTGAACAATATGAGATCCATTCCTACCACTAAGGGTGTTGATGTACAAGGGCTCCCATATATTGGGCAATTTGGTGAAGATAGAGGAATTATGTATGTGTGTTTAATAGAGAGATTAGCTTTCTATTAATCTAGCTAGTTGTTACTGGAGCCAGGTTTCTCATGACAGTATTTACACCCTAAGTTGTGGATTACTTCCTATTGGTTTCATGATTGGTTTATTTGGAGAATCAGGAAAATTATTTTCTCCCAAATTCTCTCCTTAGAACTCTTGTCTGTGAAGGATTCAAATGCTTCAGTGAAATACTTATATTGCTGACAGCCTATTATAGTCCATGCGACTTCTTTTAAGCCACAGCAGAGGTCTTATATTGATCTACCTACAGTGTCTTCTCAGCATTGAATAATTCTAACAGATTCGTCATGCCCTGGTTAAAGGATTTTAGTGATTTCTGTCATTCTGGTATACGAACAATGGCATTCTAGAATTCAGAATTAAAGTGTTTATGAAAATGTACTTGCAACTTAATAATATACAGGTCAACAGCAATTTACCCTAAAGGGTTAGTGATACAAAAGTCCATTTCATTTCCAGTATACTGGCAGCAGCAATCACTGATTTGTCTCTATGATGACATTAGGAGAACCAGAAGCACAAGTCCTTCACCCCTCAAAGAGAAAAACCTACCGTCACACGTTGCATGTGATCTGCTGTCTCTTCAGTCATGTCTGACTCTTTGAGACCCTATGGACTGTAGCCCACCAGGCTCCTCTCTCCATGGAATTCTCCAGGCAAGGATACTGGAGTGGATTGCTGTGCCCTTTTCCAGGGGATCTTCCCATTCCAGGGATCAGATTCACATCTCTTATATCTCCTGCATTGGCAGGCAGGTTCTTCACCACTAGTGCCACCTGGGAAGCCTCATATGTGGTACAGTTTGGAGATAAAGAGCTACTGCTTCGTTGCCTCCTAGAGAGAAGGTCATGAAGCCAACCATTCTCTAGTTCCACATGCCCTAAGAAACGTTAGTAGGTCTAGTAGGGATTATTCGATGATCTGTGCTTTCATTTAAAAAAGGAGGCCTCTCTTGACATGTAAGACAGTATCACACATGGCAAATGACTAAGCTTAAAACTATAGTAAAGATGCACACAAACAGCATGAATGCAAAAAATACAATGAAGAAGAAATGTTATTTTCACCTGCATAAAGACTTACTACATCTGTTACTGTACATTCATATGCTATGTTTTCACCAATAAGCTTGCAGTAAGGCACACTGGCATAGACCAAAAATTTCAAGTCATATTTCATGTATGAGAAATAAAAATCCTCTGTAATACTTGCATGCAAGTCATTATCCTTATATTTGACAAACTGTTTTCCACACATTCAATACATCAGTGCATTTGGTCCCATTCATACTCAAACATCAAATCAGCATGTATTAGTTCATTCTGAAAACACAATCACCTGCTATCATCATTAAGTTATTTTGTAGAGACAACAGTACATAGGAACTCCCTCTGCGGTCAGGAAGCTCATATTCAAGTGGAAGGGAGAGAGAGAAATGTAAAGACACCACTACAATACAATACAACACACACAACTCCACAGGCTCAGGCAAGGAGAAGAAACACAGACAGGCAGGGTTGTAAGTCTTATTGAGGCAAGTCAGCAGGGACGGCAGATAATCGTCCACGTGCTTTCAAACAGACCATGCCTGCTTACGGACTGTAGCTACGTGAGAGACAGTTTCTCCCTCCCTCTTTCCCATCGGTAATGGCCAGGAAGGCCTTGTGGAGACTGCAAAGCCACATGACAGAGGCAGCCTGGAACTCTGAGTCTACTTCTAGAAGAGGTCTTGGCAGGATTGAGAAATAAACTCTGTCTTGTCGAGCCACTGAGGTTTTCATGTGTTTGCTGTGGCAGCTAACATATCCTACCTTGGCTGTATCAGAGAAAAATAATTAGGTCAATTTAGTGAAATATTATAGCTTGGAATGAGAATAAAAAATTGTCTAAGATTTTTTACAGGTGAGTCACAAACTGTAGTATCAAGTAGCATAGTCATAGAAGAGAGTATATATGTATATGAAGACATGCAGTTCTGAAACATTCTACAATACTCTAAAATTTTATAGTCATAAATTGATAGACAGGGTAGGAGAGATAAGCAAGATTCTCTACATCATTAAAAAGAAATTAAAATCTTATGGTCAAAAATCAGGCACTGATTTTTAAAGGGAGTCAAAGCTATGGTCTGGTTTGTGTTTCTTAAAAAGGTTAATCTGGTGGCAGAATGAAGAATATTATAAAAGTAGTTTGACAGATAAGTTAAAAAATCTTTTACATTAGTCTGGGGAAAAAAAATAAGACACTGAACAAAAGCAGAGACACAGAAGTAAAAAGTTTCAATCTAATGATGATTAACAAGGCAATTTGAAGGGGTTAGGTAATTGATTATAAATAGGAGGATTAGTGAAGGGAGGGTTAGGGTTTTAGTTTCTAATTTCTAGCATCTGTACAGATAAACACACCATTAACTGAGCAGTTACATAGAAAAGATTTGGAAGCGAAATAAGAGTATGATATATTGAGTTTGCAAATTTTTAGCAAACAGGTCAACACTCAGTCTACTCAAAGCCTAGAAATAAAGACTTCTCACGACATTGTGAACATAGTAAGTTCTCAGTATGCATGTTTTTCTTTGTTTCTTTAATTGAAGGATAGCTATATCAAGGGTTGGAAATTGAGGAACTAGACAAAGGATTAGAAAGTATCATTTGTTCTTAAACCTAAATAGCAAAGTTTTCAATAGTATTGCACTGAGAGGAAGCATACAAATGCCTTAAGAAGATTTGACATTTCCAAAGAATCTCTGAAAGAATGACAACAATGTCCTGTTTGACTATTGTCCAATCTCAGCAATAGAATCCTTTTGCTGCAGAACTGTTTCCACATATATCTGAAAATGAACTAGAAAAGAAAATATCATTATTTCCTGAAAATTTATAAAGAGAGGGATGAGGATGAAGCAGAGCATAGGGAGGAATTAAAAAAAAAACAAAACACAAGATTTTCGGTAAAGTCTTATGAAAGAGTCTCCATTACAATATTTGAGATGATTGACAGAAAGGAAAAAACAAATTAAAGAAATAAAACCTTGTTAATAAAAAGATGAATTAGCTTCTACCAAACCTAACATTGCCCAAACCCACACATATAATGTACTTTACTAAGCCATATGCCAGTTGAATAGATGCTTCCTGGTGGCAATTTCACTATTTACAAGGTTTTAACGTCATCCTGGTTGTCCAGAACTTGTTAATGTTACTAAAGTTTTTCCCAAGAGGGTTGCCATAGCACAGCTGTCAAAAATATACCTGCTGAGTTTAAATAATCAGTATGACATTTTACAAATGGAGTAAAAGCCAAGAGACTCAAAGTCCGGAAAACTTATCCAGAACTAACATTCTTAATTTCCTCAAGGCCTTAAAAGCAAAAAGAATAAAAATGTCCACGTTACTGGTAAGATTCTTGAAGTTGTCTCCACCTAGTTTTCTATAACTAATTACCTTTTAAAAATAAGTTTTTGCAAAGCTAATATAAAGCATGCTTCTCAAATAGTCAAAATCTTGGACTGCATATACCTGGCCTGGGTTGTTTTTCCGTGTGACCCTACGTAGTTACTTTCAATTTCCTCATCCACCAAAAGATGACAAAAACACCAATTTACCCCTAAAACTCTGGTGGAAGTCAGTTAACAAATTAAAAAAAACTTAATCTGAAAATTATAAAAGTACTTCATAAAATTGTCAGTTGTACTTTCAGAGCTTTATTTTTTCTTTCTCAAGGGCATTTGCACTAAACTAGATATAACATGGGCTTCCCAGGCAGCTCAGTGGTAAAGAATCTGCATCCCAATGCAGCAGACATGAGTTCAATACGTGGATTTGGAAGGTCCACCCTGGAGAAGGAAATGCAACCCACTTCAGAATTTTTGCCTGGGAAATCCCATGCTCAGAAGAGACTGGCAGACTGCAGTCCATGGCATCGCAGAGTAGGACAGGATTTAGCAATTAAACACATGTATAATCAAACTGTTATGTGTCTTCTTATGTGCAACCAGATGTGTAAGTAAACACTTGGAACTAAGGAGTGAGTTTT